GCGTGCGGGATTGCTGTTTTGTAACACAGTCAGTCCTTGCAGGACTCCTTAAGGAACCTGGCAAACACGGCACTTCCCTCCATTGTCTGTTGTTTTTCTTGGAGGCTGAATATTTTCATTGAAATGTCACTTACATACCCCGTCCATGCTTGGCTGCTCTTGGAGTGCACTCAGGCATTGGGCTTTCAAAAAACAAAGGGAATTCAGCACTTAATCACAGCTCAGCACTCCACTTACTTATTAGCAAAATGTGGAGTTGAAAGGCAAAATCCCAAGCAGCGTAGTTCTGGTAATAAAAAAACTTCTGCAGATTTTAGCACCGGTGGGTACCTGCCTGTTTGAGCTGCCTCCCAAGGTGTTACAGGGTTATGAGGCACCTGTGTTTGGCAGGGGAGAGCTGATAAACAGCAGGAATGGGACAATGGGATTCTGAGCCTGCAAACTTGTGGGCAGGGCTCTCCTCCATGCGTGACTTGCACCCGGCAGGAAGGAGCCTCCGTCATCTCAGCTTTTCTGTGAAAGAAATCATCTGAATAATTCAACAGAGTTAAGAGACCAAGCTGGAAAAACCCCAAGGTCAGGGGTTTAGGCTCAGTTTGGGCCGGATTTTTTTGTAAATGTAAGGAGAAACATTTCAGGGTTGGGTCAACCAGGCTGCTCACCCTAAAAATTGGTTCTCAGCAGAGATGTCAAAGCTTCAGAAGACATCACACAGGGGAAATACCCTGGAGAAGCAGAACCAGTAGTCAACAGGATCTGGGTAAAGCAGCTGTCCTACTGAGGGGATCAGATGTACTCTTTGGGAGCACAGCTCCGCCAGTGCAGTGGAAAGCTATACCAGACAGGGACTAGGGTATTCACTTTCTTTAACTAGATCCTAGTATTAATAGGAATTCCTCTGCATTTGGCAATGTTCTTGACTGTGAAAAACAAATGCAGTGATACCCAGAGGTGGGTCTTCTGGTTTGATCATTGCTTGCATGCTTCTCCAAGCCTGGTCTGTCAGTTTTGGAGGTGCCTTTTGGACCCATTTTTAGCCTGTTTTCCAAAGGCAGCGAGGCACTGACTCTCCATCCCAGCTTTCCAGCCCTTAGTAATTTCTGACCTGTTAGATAAACTTCAACCAGCTTTGACAGAAGGGTAGAGATAGCAAAAATATTAAGTTCCTAAATATTTTAAGGAAATATGGATGAATAAAGGAGAACAATGAAATTACTGTCTTAATCGATTTATAACGTGCCCCCCCTCTCCTTTTGGAGAGGCAGCAGCCCCAGCTCCTGTGGCTTTGACTAGTGTAGGTTACAGAAAAATCTCTGGGAAACCAAACTTTGCTGCTTCACGCTTCAATGCAGGTGAACAATACAGATGAAGTCAGAGTCAAACCTTGGGAATCTGCTTCGATCTCCCCAGGCAGCACCTTCAGAAACAGCGTTTGCAAATGGATCCGTAAAACTCAGATGGAAAAGATGTTTAGATTGGATATTAGGAAAAATTCCTTCACCAAAAGAGTTGTCAAGCACTGGCAAATGGTGCCCAAGGAAGTACCGGAGTCACCATTCCTGGAGGTATTTAAAAGATGTGTAGATGCAGCACTTGAGGACATGGTTAGTGGTGGACTTGGCAGTGCTGGGTTAATGGTTGGACTAGATGGTCTTAAAGGTCTTTTCCAACCCAAATGATTCCATGTGTTTATGTAAATCCATTTTTATGCAAGATTTTCCAGGACACAGAAAATGAATCATCAATACACAAAGAGGCTGATTATGCTAATGAAACATTAGTATCTGACGACACTAACCACAACAGATTATCATGATCTTTCCCTGTACTGACAAGATGAAATAAGGTAGATCGATTAGGAGATACAGTATGGTAATTCTTACAAAGTGGCAACAATAGCAACCAAAAATCCTGTAACTGCTCATTAACAGAGCTTATTATTATACCAAAATACAGTTTCATAAAACTTCTATTTCTGAAAGCAATTTTTTCCCCCCTGTTTTTTTACAGTATCCTCCAGGGAATCTCAGCATCCAGAAGGAATGAAACTTTCAGAGTTTCATTTTAGTTTTTGTCTTTGTTGCCTGTGTAGGTCTTAACAGTACTATAGGAAATTCAAGATTGGGAAGGAGCAGGTGTTTTCTTGGTTGGAAAGCACATTATCGTCATGGAAATAAGACAGATGTTCTACAACACTTTTCTATATTGCCTGAAAAATTTTAGCAGAATCATCACAGGAGAGGCAGTGATTGTCCTACATCTGTATTCTGCTTTGCAGTTGCACCCCTAACTCCACCTCATACCAAAGCTGAGCAATACTGCTTGGAGTGAAAGGTAGCAAGGAATTGTCCACAATCTTGACAAAATTAGAGGCTCTAGGTTGGAATATCTTGCACTTTTGGAAAATAAATAAAGAAAAAACAGTCCAGCCCTTTCTAAGGGACAGGATAGTGCTTTGAGACAGCACATGAAATTCTGAGTTGTCAAATTTGGGGATCTCCAACCTGAACTTCTGGTGTACTCTAGTCTTACCTCTCAGTTTGAACTGTTCTGTGATGGCTTGTATACAATATATGTGAAAACAAGGTGGTGAAACCAAAGCCAGAGTCCTTATCTCCCCCATGGACATGCCAGGAAACACACAGTACAGATTCACCGAGAGCTAGGTAATCCTGGGAAGAGCTCCCAGGGGCCCTGGCAGGAACAAATTAAGTGTCAAGTAGACACGGACAGCTGCCTCTTAACCTCCCTTTCTTCCAACTCCAGCACAGACACTGAGACCTTTACTTGCCCATATCTTTGACAGAATAAACGAGGTGTGATATTTATGCTTCAAGTTGGCCTGCTAACAAGCGTGGCTTTCATGGAAAAGTAGATGTACCCAAGGACAAATATAAACAGAGAGGTTTGGTCTACCTCCAAAAGCCTTCTCCCACAGAGGTGCTGCAAGATGCACAAGGGCTGTAATGTGGATTTTCCACAACATAGCAAGGAGTGCTCTAAAGGTTGGTAATGAAAATGCTGTCCATGACACAAAATAACCATTGGAAACTATTAGCTAGAGTTCACTTAGCGAGGACCCAGGGAGAAGGGCATATGGATTTGAGATTTGCTGTGCCCATGATACTGACCTTTGAGTGGCCCTGATTTTACCCACCCTTTTTTTATATTCTAAATGCTGTTTCATGAAAGCTGCTTGATCAGAACCCTTTCTGCTTCATATCAGAACCCAAGTTTTAAATGTAGGCAACTGTTGTGTTGTTTAGGAGAAATACACAAAAATGAGAAGATAAAAAACCCACAAGGAATCTAATAATAAATAGGGCAGAAATGTAAACAAATAGATACTTCATGCTGTGCAATGGTTCACAGCTATTGTATCAACAAGTTGGTGTTACCTTGGAAACCAGAAATTATCTGTACATGCCTTCTCCCAAACAGGAATCCATGAAAAGAGGCATGCAGAATGGATTTTGAGCCTTCTGGACTTTGAAGAGTTGCTGCCCAGCTGTTGATGCCAATTGATCCCAAACTCAACTACTGATGAAAGTTCAGAGGCAGTGCAGAGGTTGCACCATCCTTCATGCAACACCCACAGCAATGAGGTGAGTCCCTGGCATTCTTGTCCTCTCCACCGGGGGATAACACAGCCCTTTCCCAAGAACTTGCAGAAAGGTTATGCCCTGCATTCAGTTCAGTGCTCTTGGTTTACCTTGTAACACAAGGCACAGCTCTTTGTTGAGGCTGGGAATTGCTCAGAGCAGCCACCCCAAAGCATGCTGATGGGTTTCCAGCTGATGGCTTCAGCTGGGCATCTTATCCTGGTGGGCATCAGCAAATCTGTATCCCTCTGGAATAGCTAAATGCTTGGCCCTCGGAAAATTGGTTAGCTGGGTTTACAAGCACAGCTATAACAGAAGGGATAATTCTCTAGTCAGTGTTGAATTGTGAGCAAGCAGAAATTTATACCAAGATATATATTCAGTGTCACCTATGATTACAGAACTATATTTCAGATAAACCAAAGATCTGGATGTAAGGAATTTATGAAAGTGAAAGTTACACTACACTGAACAAGCTAATAAGAAGGAATAATATCGATTTATTTTTTCTAAAGAGATTAAACAAAATCAAGGATTTGTAAAACAACTGATCACAAAACTAGTACTTCCCACAATCCAGCTGGTTTGTTGGAATTTGTACAACACTGATGTTCCTATACAAGTTCTTTTACAGCACTCTGAACTAAAACATGGGCTACAAAACCCATATTCTTCCCACACTGTCAGCAGAACAACTTCTAACAACTGTTACCAATAGACAAGGGACCAGCACAGTCCCCAGCTTTCTCTGGGGTATTTAACCCCAGAACTGCCTCTGTCAGATGTGTCAGGTTTCCCTATGGCATATCTGGCTTTTCCCAGCTGTAGTTTACTCTTCTGCCCTGTCTGTCTGTTCTGATCTTGTTTGATGTGATCTGACAATTGAGTAAGAGAGAGGCTAGAGCTGGTAAGAGGAAATTTTAACTTCAAATCATGTTTTTTAATTGATTTCAGAATGAGGTAAAAATAGAAGCACTATGAGCATCTGCCTACCCCTCCCTACCTTCCTGCCAGGTTGATGTGACAGGAGGACTGGGTCAGCTACAGTGTATCATGCATGTGATGGGATCCTGATTTTCTCAGGTCCAGAGGGGGAAAATGAGGAAGAAGAGGGGCTCTGGTGAGAGAGGTGTGTCAAGGAATAGTGATATGATCTACCACTGTTGCTGAGTTAAGGATGATGCTTTCTTTCAAGTGCAGTACCCATGTACCCATGCACATGGTGGCATCTTGGGTCACCTTGGGCACAGTACAAAGCGGGTCCCTGTTGGGACACAGAGAACTAAACCTTGGCAACTCCATACATATGAAGCCTGTTCAGATCCCTTTAACATCTCCTCTTTGCTCTGGTTTGATTTGGGTGACACTCATCACAAAACAATTTAATTCCCAATTTCAGAACAACTCAGCCCGTTACAACTGGAGATTCATTTTTAACCACCCACCAGGGATTTTGCAGTCTGTAGCACACTAGACAAATACCTCTCAGGTACCCCATCTTTTGGGTTAAAGAACAAAACCAGAACAAGAAGAGGTGGCAATTTTGACACAAAAAATACATTAGGTTCAGTACTTACAACTGCATGACCAGATATAAATGGTTCGGGCTCTCATAGATGTCTTCCAGGGCAACTATGTTTTCATGCTTGATCCTGAAAAACCACAAGATAAGATAAGATGAAATACTGATTTTAATTTTTTTTACATGACTATGAAACATAAAGCTATTTTTAGTTAGGCACTATTGTCAGTGTTTTATTCACCATCATAAATTTTTTGCAAGGACATGTAGTGATAGAACAAGGGGTAATGGCCTAAAATTGAAAGAAGGTAGGTTTGGATTAGATGTTAGGAATAAATTCTTTACTACGAGGGTGGTGAGTCACTGGAACAGGCTGTCCAGAGCAGCTGTGAACGCCCCATCCCTGGAAGTGTTCAAGGCCAGGCTGGATGGAGCTTTGAGCAACCTGGTCGAGTGGAAGGTATGGCTCATGGCAGGGGGATTGGAACTCGGTGATATTTAAGGCCCTTCCAACTGAAGTAAACAGCCAGAAGTGCTTCACAGCCCAGAATACTGTTATCATTCAGAGAAATTTCTTCCAATCCTCTCCAAAGGCAAAATGTGTAAGGGTTAAGTATATGAGGCGTTAGAAGTTCAGATGAATGAAGATGGTTGGTTGGAGGTTAAATTCTCAGGACAGCTTTGCTGCAGGGTGTAGGGGAGTGATGGAGGCAGGGTGTAGGATGGCAGGGAGAAAGCAGGGATTTGACTCTGTGGAGAAGCTGGCACAAGTAGGCAGCAGCCATATGACAGCCCCACACTCCTTCACACCAAATTCACCCAGCTCTGATGTCCAGCTGGGTCTTCACACCTGAATTTCCCTGCAGCATTGCTAAGCACTGGGTGCTTTCTGTGCAACACCTCCAAGCAACCAATGGGTTTTCTGCATCCTCACCATTCCCACCAAGCCTCTTGTCAAAACACTAGCTTTAAAGACAAAAATCATCTCCACAAGCACCCATCTAATTAATCAGTTGAGCAACGTCTCTCTGGGTTTGGTCCTTAAATGCTTACAAATAATGCGCAAAGGATACATTTAGGTTGTGCAAACCCTAAGGAGACTACCAGTACAACCCCAGGGGCAGGATATTAATTACACCAATTGCAGACAATCATTTTAAGAGAAAGATGGAAAATGCTAAGCAGAGGCCACTCATTACGCAACAGATGGACATGTTCAGAAAGAAAGTAAACATGCATTGTCAGCAAATCCAAAACTCTACGTATGTCTAGGTTCAAGTAGCTTAATTAAGATGCTTAATCATGTATCAGGGCCTTATCTTCAGTGGTCCCAAATGTCCTAACATCTGCGTGATGATGCTGAGAGCAGAAGATCCCCTGTGCCCAGCAGGATCTTTACTGTAAGTACACAGACTAATTTAATTTCCTCTGAATTCACTGGTAAGATTATGACTGACCTGAATTTACACTCATAGTCATCAGAAGCTTATTCATATAATGACCTTCACACACAGGAAATTTAACATCAACAATAAGCAAACTCAAATATAATGCACTACAGGATGTTAGAGTAACAAGTATATGACTTGGCTATTCACTCTACCTAAATATCTGGAAAATCCCATGATATTTTAGCAAAATTTCCAGGTAGACTGCATTGCAAATTAAATTCTTATTATTTGCAACAGGAAACCAATACACCACCTACTTGGCTTTACACAGCACATGTGTTAGGAAGTGTTTATTTTGTTGTGCAGGTCTAGTGCCTGGTCCCTTAAGGGTTAGGTAGGGCAAGGGCTGGTTTGCCTTGTTTAGGTTAGTTGAAGGTACGTTACGAATGACATTTCAAGCAATTAGTTACTTTTAATGAAAATTATTATATGTATTTATCCATTTTCCTTTACACACATGCACATTTACATGATCGTTTGTATTCCTCCCAGCACCACGATCAGGGCAGTTTAACACAAACAATCTGCCACAGTGTTATCTGCTTAAAGCCCCCAACTCAGAGGTACGGTTTTCACCTTGCCTATATTAACGCTTTGCATTTCTATTTTTGAGAACCTCAGAGGTTCCCCAAACGCCCTCTGAGGCAGCCGCAGCAACCCCTAACCGTGACACACACGGCCAGTGGGTGGGTTACCCACAGAGCAAACAGCCAGGGAGGCAGAGGCCAGAGGAGAGCTCATCAGACATGCAACACCGCACGCTGAGGGCTGCGGCGAGACCCTCTCCCCTTCCTGATTTGCAAACCAAATGGGCACTGCACCACTGTGCTCTCAGAAGGCAGATAAACTTGCTCAGTGCTGGGGGGGAAGAAGAGGTTTAGTCCCACCACTGCAGAGTCCTCTGTATTGAGCCAATCTGCCCCGCTGTCAAATCAGATGCAGGATGTGAGCATGTGGGATCCAGTAAATATAAACTAGAAGGCGGCAGCAGAAGAAGCTGAATCACCCCCAAAGTACACAGAGGGCAACGTCTCATAGGGATGAAGGCATTTGGAAGAAGATGCCCCTTTCATAGGTGATGTCTGTGCATACCAGCCACCACACTGGTGGGTGCTGCGCTCAAGGGGCTTGCTGAGATGGAGAGGAGGCATTTTTCTCCACTTTCTCTCAGCCTCCCCAAGACCAGCAAGGCCTTAATTGTGGTGTTACACAGTGTTTAATATCCCTGGTGAAGTGCACGTCTCACACCTGCAAATGAAGTCGCTTGTCCTGCACAGCATTTCTCTACTTGGATGGACTCTCAAATGGCAAGCTATCAAAAGGAAAATGGAATTTAAAATTAAAAAAACCCAGCAACATGGAAATCTCTTGGGGTGAAACCCACAGGTTAGATGAAGCTGGGGGGGGTGTTACTGAAGCTGGACCAGAGCATCTGTGGGCTTCCCAGCAGAGGTCACTGCCCAGCTGCAGCTCCTCTGCCTCTCACTCCAGAAATTCACACAGAAATTTGTGTGGTCCTTTCTTCACTTTAAAGCACGAGCAAGCGATCGTGTACAGCCTGGATACACAATAATTAAGGCTGAACACTGTTCATTTTAATAGCACCCTGGGGTTTGGGAAATTGGGTGTAGTAGCATCGCATTGTTTTGTTGATACCCCAAAGGCTAATGGGGATGGGGCAAATTTGTCCCACTCCTCTGCAAGCAGATCAGCAGTGCCAGACGTGCAGGTAACAGCCAGACACACACTTCAAGCCTGCACGGATGTTTGGGTACATCGAGAGCCAAGGAAAGCACTGTGCGGTGGCATCTACTTGATGGTCACGGATCAGGAGGGATTTGAGAATGGGTTAATTAACTCCACTTTTATCCCCACCAGGAGCACCGAGTGAATCTCAAAGGTTCAGAGGATTCATTCTGCTAAGCCTCCAAATGCCTGCACGCAGCCTCCCCGGTGAGCTCGCCCAGCAGAAATACTCACCAGACTGTCTGATCTCCTCGAGACCTGACAGGATTAATTTTTTTAAAAGGTGCTGCTCTCACTTTACAAAAGAGGAAGCACCGTGAAGAAAAACTTGAAGATTTCTCATGAGAGGAGGGAGCAGAGAGGGCCAAGAATCCAGGTGCCTCAGTCCCAGAGTATTATCTTAACCAATGGGCCATATTATTTCCACCCCTTCTCCTTCCCATCTCAGAGAAACAATATTAACCCCACTTGTTTGTAGCCTTTTTCTTCATTCTGTCCTCCCTGTCCATACTCCCCTTTTCCCAACGTGTAGCTCCCACACTGCAACTGATAAACATGCACTGGATTAACTCTGCACAAAGCAACACATCGATGCCATTGAAGTACATGATGGTACAATTATGGCTGTAGCAGAGGGGACATGGACATGCACTGGGGTGACAGCAGTTCCCATTGATTGTTTCCAAAGAAATAAAAAAAGCCCTGAAAGTGAACATCAAAGCATGGACTTAGTTAAAGCAAATTAGATCAGATTACTCAAATTGTTATGAACAAGGAAACATCCAGCTAAGGAAAATTGTCCTTACCACCCTTTTAACCTCCCTTTCATCACACTTGCTATTTTTCCTGATGCTCCCTCCCTTTCCTGGCAAACACCACTTGCTGCTTGTGTGTCCCACACCCTGACGTGTCCCCACAAATCCCTCCATCTGTGACACAAAGGGCACATGACACCTCCAGCCGCCACTGCTTTTTTCATTTTCAGGAATATTCTGAGGCCATTAGACAGAAACAAGATGCCTAGAAATAAAAATATAAATAAAGAGAGGCTAATGCTTTTTTACACTCCAGACTCTTCATCCTACAAAGCCCATGAGATGCTGCAATCCAGGGGAAAAAAAAAGAGGAAAGTAAATCCAGGAATGAGAATCAGGGAAATTTAAGTATACACAAAAACATGAAGAGGGATTAACCTGGTAGGAAACTCTGAAAATAAAGGATGGGTTCCCCATGTTCAGAACAGCCCTGGTTTGGATGCTGTGCCTCAGAGAGACACAAACCATGGGGCTCGATGCAACCATGCAAAATTATCAGGCTTCCCCTCCAGCCTTTCAGGTCTATGATTCTGCCCTGTGGTGTTACAAAGGTGTCAACAACATGAATGAAGGCAATGTTGCACTTGAGCAATATTTTAACACATTACTAGCCGAGCCTTAAAGGAGCAAACTAAGCTGTGCAACCAAGGACTTCAAGTGACTTTTCTGGGCACGGCAGCTGTGCAAACAAGGGCTGATGAAAGAGTGTTTGATCTGTGGCAGATCCCCAAGCACAGACTGGTCTCTTTGCTTGCTGTGGAGCCATTGCACAAGGGCATTGATAGGGGAATTGTCATTTCCCCCTGATTGCTACAGCATTCAGAAACACAGAAACGTCCACCTCTGAAAGAGCTGAAACACATCCCCGAAACAAGACCCAACTTGACCAGGAGTAGCATTTCCTCACTGTACAAGAGTTTCCATCACACCAAATAGGGAGTGCTGCAGCACTGGAGTGGTGACGAGTACGTGGCATGGTACCCCAGTGACGCTAAAATCCTCCCTTGCCACTGGCCAGCACAGAGACATCATGTCCTACCCACTGCCACCAAGAAGGCACAAGCTCCATGGGCCCAGAACTAGCTTTAATATACAATATTCCCTTCAACATTTGCAAA